ATGCAGTATATATTCCATTTACTCCTGGCTCACAGGTATTTTTAAAGATCAACATTACTTCCATTCCTCTGGTACAATTAATATGCCTTTTTATTTTTCTGCAATTAATTTGAAAATGGTGGTGACAAAGAATGACACTTTGTTTATGCTCTTTATGTCATGGTTTGTCAGGACTGCCACTCAAAAAGTCCTTTAATGTGGAAATGAAAAACATTCTCACGTTTCAGGTGGGACTCACTAGTATCATTTATGTGTATATGATATAGATCATATGTGAATCTATTTTTCATGAAAAATTTGCATAGAATATCATAACAAAACTTTTTAAGAAATTTTAACTCATCAATATAAGGATAATGAAAATTAAGATCTCTCTAAGGTAAAATCCGCTGTAACATTTGTAACTGCTATTACTGGGATTATGACTATTTTCAATTTAGTTTCCATCAGAAAGGCATTTTTAATACCCTTTTTGACGAAGGATGGGTAAGGTTAGTTATAAAACTGCTTGACGTGCTATTGGATGTGAAAGTAACTTTCAAGCTAGTCCTTATTAAGACACAATGAGATATTTGACACTAATTGACTTTCTATTTAATTCCAAAAAGGACTTGAGTGGGCAGCCATGATGCCAGTATTTTTATCAGCAACAAATGTGTTCTGAACACTAACACGGGCAAAGTCCTACTCTAAGCAAGGAGAATCAACTCTGCCTTCACATCTGCTCCGTTACGTTCTATGAACCCATAACTTACGCAATAGAAGTTAGCCCTTTATTTTATTATTCTCATATGTAGTTGTCATCTTTGCAATCTTTCGTCTTAAACTAAACATAAAATTCATCTAGTACAAGGTAGATGTGCAGATTCCCTTGAGACCTATCACAGCACTGCCCAGCTGAAATTTGTTCAATGTTTACATAGGGAATTTCTTCCCATGTAGAATATTTTATATATTAAATCTACTCATCAATATGTTCTAAAATCAAAGCCTATGTTCTAAAATCAAAGCCCATCTGCATTCAAGTATTTATGTTTTTTTGTTGGATGGCAACAGGACAAAGCTTCATTCGCTAAGATAGAAAATGAGACAGAGTCAGACTTTGTTAACAATTATTTGGGGAAAAGCTATGGCTAGAATAACTTGTCGAGTTTTACTTCATGTGTGTGTAAATGCATAGTTCCATTTTAAACCCTAGATATAGCGGACTTCCATTATAAAACTACACTATGGGCTGATTGTCACAGGGCAACATTTCGGCAGAAGCAAGTTTTACTTTCTTATACTCTAAAAGGACATCGTTGTAAGATTCACAGATGATCCTCAGGCATAGAATCAAAGAAGGTGCAGATATATTTAGACTTTAATAAGTCCCACGGTTACCTTTAAGGTTTTATAGTTATAGAGCTTTTGTCGACCTCAGAAGCTGAATTCCACCCTGTGCATGCTGAATGCTGACGTAAAATGTCCCTGAACAAACAAACAGCATCATATCCTTTCAAGACTGAGCCAGTGCTAGGGTAGGAGGTGTGCTCTCTGCTGTCAGAGAAACCATGGTGCTTCCAGTCCTGGGTTTTAGTTTTTTCCCCCTGTTGCTGGTCCCCGTGGCCAGAGGACTAGGCTTCTCCTTTTGTGGGAGGTGCAGGATGGTCCTGCTGTCCTGAGAATTCTCCTCTGCTCTCTGCTGTTCTAGAAGATTCCTAGTGAATCAACTTCATGGAAACTTGTTCAGCCTGAATTCCTATGATAGTTCAATTTTGCATTCTCTTGATATTTTAGGTTTTTTAAGTTACATTTTTACAAACTAAGAAGTATTTATTACATTATTTTCTAAACTATCCAAATATATTTGACCATGGAAGAGCACTTCTATCTCTGTATATCACGGCTTCTTTCCCAGGAGGCTACCAAGGTCCGTGAGGCCCATGAAATTATCTGCTTACAATTTTTTATGAATGTCCATTTGTTTTCTGGAGGAGAGCTCTATCTTTTGCTGAATTCCTAGTCCTCAAAGGGTTAAAAATGATTGCTCTATACAATGATGGAAACTTCATTTAAGGAATTGTCTTTTTTTTTTTTTTTTTTTGAGATGGAGTCTCATTCTGTCACCCAGGCTGGAGTGCAGTGGCACAATCTCGGCTCACTGCAACCTCTGCCTCCCGGGTTCAAGTCATTCTCCTGCCTCAGCCTTCCAAGTAGCTGGGATTATAGGCGCCTGCCACTACGCCCAGCTGATTTTTGTATTTTTAGTAGAGACAGGGTTTTACGATATTGGTCAGGCTGGTCTCGAACTCCCGACCTCAAGTGATCCACCCACCTCGGCCTCCCAAAGTGCTGGGATTACAGGCGTGAGCTACCACGCCCAGCCAAGGAACTCTTCTTGTGTGGTTTCCAGCTACCATATCCTTGACTGCAGGTCTTCTAGCCTTGGTTTGAATGGTGGTTTTCTACTTTGTGACTCAGTGGATGACTGTGTCACTGCTTTGTGGGGCAGCCTGCCCTCCTGTTAGAGTGTTTTAACTGTGAAATGATTCTCCCTTCTACAGACACCCAGGAAGTAGTCCATGGTGGAAGATTTTCCAAAGACGAACAAGCTGCCCCAGTGAGAAGCCTGCATTCATGCCCTCCAGGGGCGCAAACCCCCTGCCCTAAGTAGCTGTGTTCTTTTTCTTTCTACTCCACCACCTGCAACATTTAAGTGCTCACTCCTGGACCAGATACAGGTGGAGTCATCGTCTCGGAATATCATGGTGCCCATCTTCTCCCACGTTGGGTCCTCTGCCCCAGGTTGTCCCTGTGGATAGGGTCATGAAATAGCAGACTGCTGAGTGCTCCTGCCTCACGCTGACGGCCCCTATTTTTCTCCTGTGGTTGTACTTGCCATACAGTTTTCATGGAAATCACAGTGAGTAAATGACTTACCAAGGGACGTGCCGTGCTGCATGACAATGCTGGAGTTGAGTGAGGCTGGCAGAGAATACGCCGAGGGGGAAAACGGCCTCTGATAGTAACTCATGGGACTCACGGCACCTCCAGAGTTTCCATTCACTGTTATCTGGCTCTGAGAAAAGTGCAAAGCCATCGAGTTAAAGCACATAGTTCCCCGTAAACGTCATTCCATCAGGTGATAATAAAAGACTTCCAATCACATGACAGTAATCAGCTGCCAAGCTCTTATTTATTTTGAAAACTGATGTCAGAGGGCATGGTCCATTCTTCACCTTCTCTTTCTTCCTTTATTTCTGAAAATCACTCTTTGTGTATCTGAGGGCCCAGGGATTGGTTAAGAAGAATGAAGGCGGCTGACCAGCGGACATGCCACTCTGCCAACAGAGGTGCCAAATGGTATCAGTAGGAGTCAGTACCAAGTAAACGTGGAGGACACCTTTGCTCTGACAGTCTAAACGTCAGTGGTCAGAACACGGCTGTGGTGTTCCATGCAGCACTGACATGATGCCCTTTGCCACGCGGCAAGGGATCGGTTCTCAGACTTAGTCAGGGATATCCTCGAGCGATGGAACACTTCCAGAGCAAGGCGGCTGGCATAAGGAGCCTGGTTGTTTGGATTTATATATCGTGAAGCAACCTACTCTAGAAGGATCAGGTATCTGGCAAAGGATCAGAAAGACATGCTCAGCCACTGGCTTCTCCCTGCTTCAGCTCATTTGGCACTTTATGAATCTCTGATTGCTGAATTATTCATTGTTTTGACTGTTTCATATCTGAGCATTTTCTATCCCCAACGGTATCTCAAGCTTCCTGTTGAAGATGGTCACATATATGCTTCTTTAATCGTTTTTACAACATACAGCCTAGTGCTAATGAAGAGTACATGTTCAGTCGATTCTGATTGAACTGAATCGGCTTAGTTCACAGACACACAGCACAACACTGACCAGTGCGGAGCGCACACAGTGCATGCAAGTAAGACCAAACATTAGCAAGAACATTTAGTTAATTTATCTTATAGTTAAACACATACAACACACAGAGGCACACAGATAAAGAACCATAGTTTGTGAAACTTTTCTACTTATTTAAAAAATAAACTTCTATTACACAGGCATGAAACATAGATATAGTAACCGCATATTTCCATGATTTCACTTTAAAGCAGATAGGTTTTCAAATGACCTAGAATAAGTCTAATTTCATTATTGTGTAGCCATACCACTTATGTCCCCAAATCGATAAACATTTCATTACAAGCCTTGTGCTTATTGATTAAGTACTTCTTCAGGCTGTTAGAAAAATTACTATCATATCATAACCGGCCATATATCGAGGACCTATTCCCTGGAGAGAGCCGGATGTTCAGGCAAGCGTGAGGCACAGGCCTCCCCAAATCTTCAGAGGCTTTATGTACCTCCAACGAATGATTTGAGAACACTCTCACCTCTTAGCCCAAATTAAGTTCGGTGGATCTTTGTCAATATCATCGTAATAGTATTACAATATGTTATAATTAATGTTAAAAGCCCAAGAATCCTTCTTATGAGAAACCATCAGCTTAACTAGGTTACTAAACCTAGGAAACTTGCTCTAAATCCTATTTTGATGGTTTCAATAATATTAACTAGGGGTTAAAAAAGTAAACACTGAAAGCAGGTTTATTCTTTTATTGTGTTAAAATAATCAGGATTTTATGACTAAAATAATATCATTAGCAGTTTAGAAAACACTGTATTGTGACACTGAATTCATTATTAGGAAAAACACATCATGGATAATCTATTTGCAATTTTAAACTGATAATTGAAATTAATCTCTGTTACAAGTAGCTCTGCTTGTGCCCAAGACTGTATATAAGACACTTAGGCTCCCGAAGCGTCTTAAAAACAGAAAATTGAACAAGTTAATGTGTAGATTGATATACTGTCACTCCCTTGTATTTTTAATTAAAGGTCCTGGTGAAGTTTTAAAAAGCTCAGAACCATTTGAAGCACAGGAGGACATGGTAGGAGCCCACACCTGCTGTGCTCCCGGTACCTGCGGTTGGGCTGGTCCCCTGCGGCAGGTGAGGGACTCACTGTGGGGTTAGACCTGGAAAACAAGGCTCCTTCTGTAGCCAGTCTCTGAATGGAACATTTGAATGCAAAGTGTTAGACCCAGCCATTGTGAGAATACTAAATCCCATCACCAAAAAAAGCATCTTTTACTTTCAGTAAATTGCAGTGTCTTAAAAAACATATGGCTTATTATAACATTTCTCTGTGCATAAAATTTGCAGATTTATGAGCTTGATAGAATATAAAAACGATGTAGCACAAAGAGCATTTTGTCTGTGACAGTGTTTATGTGGAACTTCATTATAATATCAATTAAAAAATTACTATTTTTCGCTTGAGGTTATGTGCCTTTCAAATGGAAGCCGTTACCTACACGTTATTTGCAATCTGTGCCATAAAATTTTGAAACATTTTAGCCACTCACAAATCATTTATTAGGGATGGCTTATCACATAGATATATTTAAGTAGTATATGTATGGAAGAGATGTATATATTGCTATAAATGAAAGACAAACTATTGATATATAAAATTTAAAAATGGCCGGGCACGGTGGCTCATGCCTGTAATCCCAGCAGTTTGGGAAGCTGAGGCGGGTGGATCACGAGGTCAAGAGATTGAGACCATGCTGGCCAACATGGTGAAACCCCGACTCTATTAAAAATACAAAAGTTAGGTGGGCGTGGTGGCGTGCACCTGTAGTCCCAGCTACTTGGGAGGCTGAGGCAGGAGAGTTGCCTGAACCCGGGAGGTAGAGGTTGCAGTGAGCCAAGATCGCGCCACTGCACTCCAGCCTGGCACCTGGTGACAAAGCCAGACTCTGTCTCAAAAAAAAAAAAAAATTAAAAATGTATTCATAAATTTCTATACTGAAATGGCTCAGGAAGAATAATTTTAAAAAATCCTACGGTTAAGTTTCTGTAAGGTAGATTAAGATTATTGACATCATTCACTCCTGGACAACAGATGAGTTCAAAAGTTGTAGCTATTAGGGAAGGAGAGGCAAGAAAAATCAGCCTCATGCAGTCAGTCACCATTCATGTGAGAAACAAGGACACAGAGAAGCGTCACACAGGACACATTACTGTGAGACTGTGGGAAAACCTACTAACAGGCATTAATACGGGGTTAAAATGTTTTGAAAAATTTTAGACTTTATGATCATAACATATTGTAATGTATATTTATGTAAATTTCTGAGATAAGGCAAATCACTGTACGACTCATCAGCTACAGTAACGTGAGAAACCATAAGTAACTATTTTAGAGTAACTGTAAGTAATTCTAAAATGAGTGAAGAGAATATAAGTGACTTTTTCAGCCTTTAGTAGGCGTATGAGGATGACTGTAGTGATTTCCCTGACAGATGGCACAGAATTGGTTTCGGAATCAACACCTATGCGAATAAAAATGTCAGCGGAAAAATGAGATGGCACAAGAAATCAGTCCTTATAAGGAAGAGGTGGAGGCAAAGAAAGGCAGAATAATTACATGAATGGCCGCAGGGGTGGTTAAGGTGGTGCCATCTGTCACAGCAGACCTCTGACCCCAGGTGGGGGAGGGTGTCTCAGAACGGCCCGTGGTGTCAGAGTCACCAATCTGCAGCTCCTCTAGCATGGCTGTGGAGGACTCGCTCTCCGAGCGGGAGGAGTGCTCGGCCAGGGAGGAGTCTGTAGTCAGAGAGCCTGTGTCGTGGCTGTGGATAAGGCTTTCGGGAGCTGGGAGCAGGGGTTTGTATAGGCAGTGGGAAAGGCTCTGGGGCATATGCAGGCGTGAAGACCCCAAACCATCGGGTGGTGGAAGGCTAAGTGATGCTGAGCTGGCAACACTGCCTGGTGAGAAAGTGGCTCGGTTCAAAGGTACCATGGAAGGAGGGCATGGAGGAGAGGCTTCTGGTGTGGTTTGTCTGTGTGTCTGTGAAGCATTTACCTCCAACACACTGGCAGGTAAGTTCTGATTTCCAAGCTGAGTATGAGGAAAAAATAATAAGAGATAAATTATCCAATTAACAAAAATACCTCTTTTTGCAATGTGGCAGAGAAGGCAAAGCATCGGTTTTATTTGCAAGCACTTCAAGGAGTGACATTCAGATGGATTAGGTGCCAACCGCACAAGTGCAGAGAAACCATGAAAACAGGAGGAACGTGAATCCAGTCAGTGTGTTTTGGAAACCAGGCTGGTTTTCACACAGCACTGCAACGGAATTTTGGGTAGGGGCTTGAGAGTGTTGGCAGAATGAAACTTTTTCCTCAGGAGTTTTAGTTTTTGCATTTCTGACAATAATATGATATCATACTACTGGTCAGCAGAATTGGTTTGCCCTTCACTAGAAAAATCTTATGGCATAATTGCCTCTCCCTTGCCAAAATATCCCCAAAACATAAACCTGTCTTAATTTTTTCCTGGTTTATGAATCTAAATATCGATGATACTAAACACAACTAAGTGGAAAGGATATTTTATTTCCTTTCCACTTATCAAATCTGTTTGATTTCTCTACCAAATACAGAAAGAACTGGACTTCAGAATATTCCAGCAATGCAATAGAGGTACCATGTGTGAAAATGAAAACCAGCCACTGATAATGGTTAGAAAGTGCCCTAGTTGGTTAGAACTATGCTTGGCATTAAATCTTAGGTAAAGGAGAAAGAAACTGAAGGAAAAACAAAAGATTTAACAGCTCCAAGGCCATATATAACCCAACAGGCTAAATATAGCAGAGGAACCCTCTGTAGAAGGCAGAGAAAAGATGGTTGTTTGAACATTTTACAGCCACCTGTGGTAGCCTTGATGGTGTCTGACCACACGTGACAAATAGAATGATAAGCACCCAATTCAATATAAGTGAATAACACTCCAAAGCAAGTTTTCTTACTTGTTTTTTCTACCTTTCAGAATAGATATTTTTTGGAGGGGATGTTTCAGGGAAGAGATGGCTTTAAGATAGATAGCCAGAAGTATTGGAAGATATTAGTACAAAAACGGGAAATGAATGAAAGAGCTGTATAAACTTAGAAGTATTGCCTAGCAAAGATTTAAGTAGTACAATTTGGTGTTCTTCGCAGGCCGTAATTTTCATAATGGCTGATGTCTTGTGGGCTGTTGGCCTAAAAAAAAGTTACAATAATTTTTTTCTCAGACTTTTACTTGAATACTTTAAAAAATCCATCACATAAAAGGTGTCTCTGAATCATAGATCCCTTAGAAATCTGATAAAAGCAACTGATCCTTCTTTTAGGAAAATGCACAATTTCATACTTATATAAAGTTCTGCATAAACTTCAGGGAGACAGAGACATTCTAAAGCAGATCCTTAATCTGACGGGTTAAGAAACCCCAACCTTGGATAAAAACACAGGTTTTCTTGTCCTAATTCTACTTAATATGATTTTTTTTCTTGTTTAAACATAGTCATTTAAAATGTGATATATATATATATATATACACACACATACATATTTACTGTTTATGAAAAAACAGATTGCTTCAATCTCTAGAAATCACTGACAGAAATCTTAGCTACCCAGAACCTAAAATGTTTTGGTGAGAATGCATTCTTATAATTACCAAGTACTTATAATAACTGCAATCTTATTGGAGGTAAAACTATGATATTATAAAATTATCATAATTCTAACTTAATATTTTAAAATTCTGCTATAAGTGTGAATGTAATTCAGTATAGAGCAGTCTTTGGATAGTGTCAATAAAATTTCTCCTAACAATGCAGTTTTACTAAGGATGTTTCCATGTAATATGAATCTCTTTCTAGTTTTGTTTATACTAAATGAAAACTCTAAGAAATAATACAAATCATACAAAAAGATTTGAGTTATCTGCTCAGGAGACTTTTCTCCTTTAAAATTAAAAGAAAAACATCTAATGACTTTAATCCCTATTGGATTGACTTGTTCGTATCCTTTGACTTGAAACATATCAAAAGCTGAAGCATATTCTCTCTAAAATCATCCTTGTCACAGGTAATATGATCATTAGTTTGCATAGTATAGTGTCTGGGGATGGCCCTTATACATTCAATTGTTCTTCCAAATAGAATGCCCATAGAAAACAGAATTATTCCACCTTTTGAGTTTATTTCACCATCTCCTGACATGTTCCTGGTTTTGAGTCTTCCAATGCATGCATGTGTATGTGTGTATTTATGTGTGTGTGTTTGCGAGTGTGTGTAAGGCATGAAATGCCTCTTGGCGAGTCACATTACACATAAATTTCTACAGATAAAACTCAACAATTCAACAGCGCACTGGTCACCTACAAAAAAGCTTTTATAAGACCCTTGTAGACTCAGGGGGAGGGAAAGACCACGTTACACATGTTTCTCCTCAGGAAAATAAGGAGAGCAGCAGCAAAGGTGTGAAAGGGGAAGAAGGTGGTATTTTCCCAATCTGGACTACCTTGAAAATAGGGAAAACGAGCTTAACCAAGCACATTTTTTTTTCTTACTTCATGAGTGGCAAGTAGATGACTGCAGAAAAATCATCCTAATCATTTCATGTCTCCTTCTTTTCAGGACTGTGGAAGGCTAAGGCGTTTGAATAGGGATCAAGGGTCGCCAACTTTTTGTGAGTATACATTTTTTTTTTCTTTCCCCACCTGTTGAGCTAGCAGGAAGCGGGTAATGAGAAACACCAGCTAGCAGCTGCCTGGTCTTCTGCAAAGGACAGGGACAGTGCTTAAACCTTAATATGATTGATGCATCAAGAGAGAGCACCTGCTTACTCAAACTAGCACAGAGCTTCTTCATCCGAACGAATCCAACTCAGAGTGCTACAGAGGGCCTGTGGATGAGAGAGATCACCAAATCAACGTTGGAGTTCCCGAGGAAAGAAGGAGCAAGGAGATTCACGGAGCGTAAGCTTCAGCAGGGGAAAAAGCGTGCTGAGTTGGATGAAGGTACTGCAAACTCAAGTGCCCATCATGGGCAAGGAAAATATCCAGGATGTGCAAATCAAGCCCACGTTGGATGACAGGGAATGATGGGACCAACGGCAGACTGCAGAAGGCATGTTCCCCCTCAAGGCGGGGTTGATTTGCTCATATCCTCTGCCTTGAAACACACCAAAAGCTAAAGCTTACTGTCTCTAAAACCACCATAGTCATGGGTAATGTGATCTTTAGTTTGCTCATAAACTCAGTGATAACACATCTATAGTCATAAGCTCCTAAGCCATCAGTTGCTGATTCAGTAGATGCAGAGGCTGGAGGTGAAGGAGGGTAGTGTGAAGCGGGATATGAAGGGGTGCATGGCCAGGCCTAGGGAGAGGTGAGTAAAGTGCCTATTGGGCCCAAATTTAAACAGTAATTGAGATGAATTCTGTTTCAATGCAATCTTTGAAAGAAAATCAAAATCAGTGCAAAAAAGAAAAAACACCCATAATGAACAAAAATGTCAAAAATTTAAATAAAGACCATGCCACGTCATAGGAAAAGAGAAAAAAAAAAACTGGGTTTGGAGTTTTTAATGCAAGAAAACTCATCAATAATATTTTCAAAGTCTACATTTTTGCTTATTTCAGTCTTAGTTGAGAGAATAGACATGTTAGACAATTTCCAATTTACTGATGGCAATCTTAAATACTTTTTATTTAATTTAAGGTGAAGTAAACATGTAATAGGGCAAGCGAGGTGGCTCACACCTGTAATCCCAGCACTTTGGGAGGCTGAGGCAGGTGGATCACCTGAGGTCAGGAGTTCAAGACCAGCCTTGTCAACATAGTGAAACCCTGTCTCTACTAAAAATACAAAAATTAGTGAGGCATGGTGGCGGGTGCCTATAATCCCAGCTACTTGAGAGGCTGAGGCAGGAGAATTGCTTCAACCTGGGAGGTGGAGGTTGCAGTGAGCTGAGACCCCACCACTGCACTTCAGCCTGGATGACGGAACAAGACTCTGTTTTAAAAAAAATTGTTTTGCTTTAAATAAAATATTTAAACTTAAAATAATGTGTGAGTGTTAATAAATCTGCATTTTAATTTTAAAAAAAAATCTAATGACTTAAACATTGTAGGAAAAAAGTCATTCACAATATACAAAATAGGTATTTGGGGGAAAGAATTTCCTTCCACCCCAGGCTTGACATGGCCCTGTGCTCAAGGATCCTAACATCTCTCTCTTCACATCTTTTGTATTGAGCTTCTAGGCCTCATTTCTCAAGGAGCATAAGGGATATATATTAAACGTCAAGCAAAGAAATTTGACAGGCTTTTGTTCTCTTTTTTCCAGCAGCATTGACAGTAATTGACTTGAAAAGAAAATATCTAAGAAGGGGTGAGAAATGCCAGATATAGGTGACGGGGAGGAAGGCAGCAAATCACACTGGCATGTGTGTGCCTATGCAGCAATCCTGCATGTTCTTCACAGGTACCCCAAAACCTAAAATGCAATTAAAAAAAAACCAACCTTTACCTCCCATCCCCACATGCTTTTGGGACAATTTGCCCCCTTTCTCCTGGCCTGTCCTGGGGGTATGAGGAGACAAGCCGGGCCGCTGTGTCTGTGCCGGGTCACCATTTTGCTGGCCACGGCTGGCTGGGAAGGGGGAGAACTGGACCCTGCTAGGCCAATGGGGCCCTGTCTCCCTCCTGGGAATTTGAATTACATGACACTGCATGGCCCCTCAGGTAACTGTAGGGTACCCAAATACAAGAAGTCAGAGAATGTCATGGAAACCCGTGGGCAACTTGGAGTAATGACAGAGGAGAAACTAAGAGAGACAGAGAGACAGGGAACTCTACGCAGTTCCTACGGTTGAGAAGGAGGGAAGGCAGCTGCCTGGTCACTGCCCATTTTCCTAAGGCCTGGCTGTGCTGCCTGCATTGCAGTGATGTGAGATTGTCTGACGGCCTCATAATAAAAATTATTTTGACCATATGCTCCCCACCAAAGACCTGGGTGACAAATGATGTAAAATTGTCACACAGATCGGGCACACCAATGGCATGTGG